TATACCAATGTCTACAGGAACATATGGCATTGATTAAGAAAGGACATACAACCATAGCTTTAGCATCAGATGTAGATGTACAGTACAGTACATCTGATGATTTTGTACATCTACATCTCTTCATCATATGTAGATGTACAAACTCACCTGGCCCAAGCAAGTTCTATTACATTATTCAAGAGATTTTTCCAACATTGAACACTTAGAAAAACTATAAATTTGTAAGACATGCAAGAAGGACTGAGTGATTAATTATAACGACAACAACATATTAGCACAGGCCTAGAGATCTTTATATGAAATCAAAAACATCATCAAAGTGGTGGTAATGTCACCATAGACTCTGTCCAATTAAGAGAATGTCTCTAAAATTAAAAAAGTTTTATTCTGTGCTCAGTTTTATATTGGAATGTTGTTCAGAACCTGATGATAGTTGTTTAAAACTACTGAAAACATATATTTTAGCAAAACTAACACTTATATGCAATTTCCAGCAAATAACCATAATATTCTAATGTTTTTGGCTACAATTTAGAGGCCCTCATCAGGAAATAGAACAAAAAACACAGTTCTATTGTTCAATTCTTGTCAAACTATAAAACTGTGTTTTTTATTTTATTTCCTGATGAGGGCCTCTAAATTATAGCCAAAAACATTAGAACATTATGGTTATTTGCTTAAAATTGCATATAGGTGTTAGTTTCACTGTTGTACTGTTTCAGTTTTGCTGTGTGCTGTTATTTAACATTTGTTTTAAATTAAAAAATCAGTAATTTTCTGTTAATGGGACACTTAATATATACAGAACCTGATAAAGAAATGGCTATTTTATTATGTGTAAAGTACATTTCGAGAAACATGGGCAAGTACAGAAATTAACAAATTAAAAAACTTACAAATAGGATTTTCCACATTATACAGGATGCATAAAGCTGTGGATTTCATTTAACATTGCTGAAAACATTTGTGTCTTTGCATGCAATTGATGCCATATGAACTCAATTAGGTAGGAATCTACATAGTGACTAAGAGTGCTTGCTGTCATTTATTTTGCCATTTTGCACTTCCAATAATCTTTTAACAGTATGCATATGGCATCCGTTATCTTGATTGATAAAGTTGTACATATGAGGGTGGATCAAATATAAACAGGATTTATTTTATGTTTTAAAATTATCTATTAAAAAATAAAAAAAATTATGATTTATTTTTCTACATAGCTTCCTGCTATAGAAATACATTTTTCCCAGCGAGAAGGAAGGTTTCTTATTCCAGTATCATAGAATGAAGTTGATTGCGTCAGGAGCCAATTGCACACGAATTCCTCCACTCCTGCATCATCTTTGAATCGCTGCCCTCCTATAGCTTCTTTAAGCGGCCCAAACAAATTAAAATCGCAAGGTGATAGGTCTGGGCTAGGGAGGGTGATCAAGTGCAGTCCATTGCATTTCGTTAAGTTTTGAGACTGTTAGAGCTGCAGTATGGTGTTTAGCATTGTCATGGAGGAGAATGACATCTCAAATCAGTTGGTTTCGTCTCTTGCACCGATATGCAGTCTTAGCTTTATCCAACAGCTTGCAATAGTAAGCAGCATTGATTATGCATCACTCATGCAAAAAATCAATGAGCAAAATGCCTCAATGGTCGAAGAAAACTGTTGTAAGAACCTTGCCACTCGTGTCCGTCCTTCCTTGAACTTTTTATGCCAGGCAAACACATGAGTCCTTGACAGTGTTTGATCCCCAAAGGGTGCAGTCAATCTGCAAAAAAATTTCTGTCACATTGACTCCTTCACAAGCAATAAATTGTATGATTATGCGTTGTGCAACAGAGGGGTGTACCTGTTGCTCTGACATCGTGAGCACTACTGACAAATTGGTTGAAAGTATGAAACGGCCAGTGTTCCCCACTCCTAATGAACCTACCCAGTCAGACTATGCATGGGCCCTGTACTGCTAACTTTAGTTGCTTGGGAACAAAATTCCCATTTATATTTGATTCATCCTCATACAATTAACTCAAGTGTTCGTATTCTGCATCTTCTAATTCATCTTGTTTATTTGCTTTCCAACAGTCAGAGTAAATTATACTCTCTTCTGTCACATTCTCCCATATCACAATAATGAAAGTTTTCACAAAACGGTCTGGCATCTTAACTAATAAACACTCTTCTGACTTAAAAATTACATACCATGCATACAATCTTTCAGCAAATAATATGTATTTGAATTAAATACAAAATGGAACGTTTTTGCCTCTTAAGGAGCCTACATCAAGTATATAACTTGACATTAGAGAAACTACAGAACATTAGAGAATCTATAATGTTCTGTAGTTTTTAATTTGTTTACATTCTACTGTTAGTGACTTTTATGTTACTATTTCAACTCAGAAAAACACGCCCAATGTGGTATTTTATGCAAGTAAAGAGACTTTTGTCGACTTCTATGACTTTTTTTTGCATCGCTGATTTTTACTGAAGGTTGAGAAAGAATGAATTGGCACATACCCCAAGCATGTAATTATTCCAATCAGCAGTCATACAGTGATTCTTCCTAACTGTAGTTTACAAACTTCTACTGATGTGAACTCGACACGAAAAGTAAATAAGTTGAAAAGCTATCAGAAAAGAAATATGGGAACCTTCAAATCAATTTTGATGTTGCAAACCTATCTTCTCACAGCACAATCTTATGTGAGAAGCAGAACGAATTAAGGAAAAATTAAATTACAATATTCAACTATAGATTAGATTTAACAAAGAAACTCTCCATTTTTTCTTTGTTCATTGAAATTTTCCCTGGGAGGATATTCATCCTTCCATCCCCGGAGTAACTTCCTTTCCTAACGGAACTTGCAACTGAATCACCCGGACCTTATACAAAATAATCTACAATTGGTGAAAATCGATCATGAGACCCGAAGGTATAAAAGGAAAGGTGACGCTCGAAGGGGGGAGTCAGCCTTTTGCGATCTAAGATCTCCTTGCCGAAGATCCGCCTCGCCGTCGTCGACCAAGAAGTCCGAGAACCCGAGCTACCCGATTTAATCAAGAACGAATTTGAATTGACCAGAGGTATGATCATATATTGTAAACTCTCTCTCGGCGCGGTCACTCCGAATTACGCACGAATAGTTAATCCCTGTATGTTAGGATAGTGTTGTTTCAATAAATGTTTGTCTTGTTGTTAAAAAGTCTTCTTTAATTCGAATATCGTTCACACCTCACCGACGACCCCTCTCTCCTCCTCCACTCGACCTGACAAAAGAATCCCGACTTTCCGGGATAGAAAAAACCATAAACAAGCCATCCACTGACCGGTGGACAGTTCTCACCAAACTGTTGCCTATCAAAGAGAGGTACGACTTCGTCCTACCTCTGGCTACCCACACTTATGTTGCATCACTACTTCAGTGTAAGTTAGTAGCAAAATCTAACTTCATTCTGTGATTTTTGGAACAAAGTAGTTTAGTATGTATGGCACCTTTGACTTGGAAAAAGTTAATTGCAGACTCTATCTTTTGGCAATTTCAATATCATGTAATCCATTCACTCCAAAGTGAAAAAAAGCAGTATTTCAACAAGAACAGCAACTGTAAAACTCAGGTAACATTACTACATTGGAGTTCATGTTACCAGCCATCTTCCAATGACTTTAATGTTACTAGAAATGTACAGTACATGTGATGTCAAATGTCTCAATAAAAAAATAGCACAAAAAGATGCAAAGCAGTTTAGGAAATTAACAAGTTTTGATTTTCTTTGTTTTGTTTTAATCCATCTTTGTAATTACTTTGTTTTATAATATCTACTTGACTTTTATTCTACTTTTAATCTACTTATTCAATGCATGATGTAGTTGTCTTATTGCAGTACAGTCGACCCCCCTATAAGATCATTGATTTTTCCGTTTTATCTGAATTACATGTTGTACGAGTCACTTAGATTTTACAAATACGTGTGCCGGACTGTGAATGGCTCACATATTTGTAAAATCTAAGTGACTCTTACAACATGTAATTCAGATAAAACGGAAAAATCAATGATCTTATAGGGGGGTCGACTGTAATGGAAAAGTAACAGAGTTTTATTACTCTGTCTGTTACTTTTCCAATTACAATTATGAGTGGCATCCCATCAACAGAAAAGTACCAAAAGATCTTTTTGTGCTGGATTTTGGGTCTTGTCTTTTTATTGTTATCCAGTTTTTTTGAGATGGTAAGATGTTGAACTTTTGAGTAATTTCATTTTTCAGTTTTAAGTTCATAAAGTAGATCTTATATGAAAGAAAATAAATGGGAAGTGTGACTATACAGTAGTCTTGTTTTATATAAGCAGTTTCATTTTTTTGTGGTTAGTAAATAGTTAGGATAAGCTTTGAATGCACAGATGTAATCATCATCAAGTAAACAAGAGATTTTTTCATTAATTTTAACTCTATAATCCTTTTATATCAGGTATAGTTTTTATACAGCAAACAAATATCCAGTGGTTTAACCATGTACAAATTTGTTTGCAGTATGAATTACTAAACCTGATATAAAAGGATTATAGAGTTAAAAGTAATAATACAGTTACCCTATAATTAAGGAAGAGATTTCTCATTGCACAAAATATTTGTTTCATTTGTAATCACATTATTACTGGTAACCTTTTCATGTGCATAGAATTTGTTGTTATTTTTCTGATATAGATTAAAAAGTTAAATAAAGTAAAATTTGTAAGCATTTTTCTTATTTTTTTTTAATTATTTCAATTAATATTTGACTTGTGATTTAGAGTTACTAAATTTCAAATTCAGTTTTGACTTACCTTCAGGAAAAGATTTGCTGTTGCTGTTCTAGGCAGTTGTCTGGGACTATTTGGGGTGGACACAATTTATGTGGAATTTCAATTTTACATGGAATATTCTGACACAAAATCTTTTCATAAAACAATACTATACTATAATTATTCCATATTATAAGTTGAATTGCTACATAAAGAGTTTTTGATTTAGATATCGCAGATTTCTGATTCGGACGACACAGAATATAGACTTCCAAGAAAAAGGCGACAACGAGACTTGACACCAAATGATGAAAAGTTATCTAAATATGGAAAAAGAAATGCAGGTAATCTATTTCCTTATTAATATTTATTTTCTTTTCATTATAAAATATAATACAGTAGAGCCTCGAAAACTCGGCACTCGATAACCTGGCACTCCAGATAACTCGGCCACACCCTGGCAGGGTAAAAATACCCTTAGATAATTAATTTCCATTATAGACAGTTTTATGCCTCATAAAGTATTTTTCTGAGTTATGTCTTATCAGGTAAATTACTGTACACAGTGTATTCATTAATTTTCATTTTCATGTAGTACATCCTTTATAATAAAGTACATCCTTTATGAAGGCTCTGTGCCTTCATAAAGGATGTACTTTTCCTTTGTTTAAGGGTATTTGGGCAGTTTATTCTCTGTTGTATTCTCAAGCAAACAATACATACAAGTATAGTACAATATTTTCTGAGGAAACACTCATACTTATCCTTTTTTAACCCCATTCCCGATAACCCGGCATTTTCACAAACTCGGCCACCCTTCGGTCNACAAGTACAGTACAATATTTTCTGAGGAAACACTCATACTTATCCTTTTTTAACCCCATTCCCGATAACCCGGCATTTTCACAAACTCGGCCACCCTTCGGTCCACATTAGGCCGAGTTTTCGAGGCTCTACTGTAATAATAAATTGTATGAAATTAGGGCTGGCCAATAAGTCTATACAATTTTTTAATGTGTAAATGAAAAACACTTTTTTAAGAGAGAACAATAACTTTATTAATAAAATTAAAGACAAAGTCTGCCCAAAAGGGACCGTCATTTATTTCTTGTGTTCCAGACTACACATTCACAGCAACCAACCTTCCTTTATAGGCTACATGCCACCAGAATTTTAAAAAAATTTACAAAAGAATAACTTTATTCATTAATGTATAGGCTATTTTGATCTACTGTCTTTTGGACTGCTCCATAATTTTTTGCTCAAAGAACTTACTATCTTCCTTGGCAAAACACTATTCCAAGTAACATTTGATACTTTCCTTAGAAACAAAGCACTGTCCATTTAAAGAATTCCAAAGAGAGCTAAACAAATGATAATCAGAGACAATATCTGGTGAATATGGAAGATATGGCAAGACTTTCCAGCCCAATTTCAATAATTTTGCCATGTTTGCAAGGATGATTGAGGTCTGCTGTTTGTGGTGATGGAAGATGACACCTCTCTGGTTTATCAATTCTGGGCATTACTTGTGGATAGCTGCATTCAATTTGTTCTGTTGGCCACAGTCATGAGCATGTGCAGAAAATTTCCAGGCAGGGCAAAGCTTGGAGACAAATAATTATATCAATTCAATAAATTCTTATTTAATAAATTCTTTGGATTTTTCACAGGCATATTACACAATGCAGTATTGCATCAATACAGAAAGACAGACAAAGCATCTCATGGTTGAGGGTGTAAGGTTATACATCTGAATCACTTTTACATTTATGATTTGTAGAAGTTTTTACTCACTCCTAGGGAGGGTTTGAGTCTTCCATTTGGCCTTCTCTTCAAATGCCCATGGTCACTGTACACATCCAAATTGATTGTTCTGCTCTGGAAGCAGCTTGTAGAACACAACACTCTTCCAGTCTTATAAATTTTGAGAGCATGATCTTGTTTGTGTGAAGCCTTGCCTTTGAAATGGTTTGTGGTGTTTGCCATGCAGCCTCCACAATTATTTACATTAGACATTGTTGTATACAATCCAGTTTCATCATCCATTATCATCTAATACAAGAATGGATCTTTTACTTCATGTTGAACATGTAGTACACTTCACACCAGCGTTTAGAAATTAAATATAGAACACTTTTGTGTTATGGTATTATTAACAGCAATTTGTTAAATTTCAGATATACTCGCAAGTACTTTCAACAGTTTACAACCATTGTCTTCAGGCAAAATTAAATATCTTTATTGTCGAGTTGACAGCTTTTAATGGACTTTTTAAATTACGTAATGCGCGTGGTTGGAATATAGAGCAAAACATTAAAATTGAATAATTAAATATTTTTAAAGGAATGTGCTGTAATAACATAAACTCCCCGAAACATATAAATAGTGAGTGTGCTGTGTATGGTAGTGGTATAAAATTAGAACACAAAATTATAACTTGGAATATTTAAATAAAGTTATTCATAGCTGTGGTACTTCCAATGTCGGCGCATTACACGGCAATGCAGCAGATATGTAAAGGTTCTCCCATATGAATATTTGTCTACGATTATTGCAATTCTTAAGCAATTTAGTGTGGTTCCAAAGTGGAAGATAATCTTGGTCTGGAACCTTTTTTGCTAATTCTGTTGCTGGTTTGTTATTTCTAATGTCCTCTTGATGTTCAAGGATGCAGGACTGTATCATTCTGGTGGTAGCTCCAATATAGATAATTTCCTCCCCTGATATTGTATGCTTTAATGGAATTTTATAAACCCCGATTTTTTCTTCAACATGAGAGTGTCTCTATTGTTGCACAATGTTCTTCGTAGTGATGGTTGAGGAGTTATAGGTAATATAAAACCATGCTTTTTAAATATACATGTTATTTTTAGTGAAATAGTGCCCAAATACGGTATTGGAGGGTTTATTATCTTTAGGTCTTCTTTGTTGCAGAGGAAAGATTTTGGAAACAGTTTATGTGACTCGGTTGTAGAGATAGCGATACTTGGAATTAGAATATTCGGCATTGTGCACTGCTCTGTTGATAATTTGTAATTCTTTATCAATTAATACCTGAGTGGATGGGATGAGGAGTGCTCTCCAAATAAGAGAAGTAATAATACAAAAGTGGACAGCACGCCGACTATTTAATAGAATAAACTTTTTATCATACAGGCGTTAATTACCAATGACTGTCGTCAGACCAACAAGCGCTTTCGATGCTAATTATTTTCGTCTTCTTCAGGCCGTTAAAATGGTTAAATTCCTTTTTTTTGATTACAAATAACTGACTGTTCCAAGCATATTAACGTTTTGGAATGGAAGCAACAGTAGAACAAAAAATAATTTTCAAATAAAAACACGCACAGTTGTAATGCGCATGTGCTGTGCGCCTCCAAATTGCGGAGCTAGATATGTTGGTTTAGAGAATTATACAAACTGATCCACAAAGGGGACAAATCAAGAGTGGGGGTGTTGCAGGGATTTAGTTTGTTGGTAAGGAGGGCCTCCCAAATATATATAATATTTCTGTTATTGCACTGTCTTATTATGGCCACCTCGTCCCACAACAGGGTATGTTGGTGTTGTAATACCATTTTAGTGAGCTCAGTTTCATTCTTGCCTTCCCTGATAGAATACTGATGTTCCGTAATATGACACGACAACATTCTTGTTGTCACGCCAATATAATGAGTGCGACCACCCGACATGCTTTCTAATGGGATAGAATAAATCCCCGATCTTTCTAGAATGCAAGTAGGATCTCTGTCATTGGACAGCAACCTCCTAAGATTTGGCTGTGGGGAAATTGGCAAAAATAGGGCATGCTGCCTAAAAATACGGCAAATACGTAAAGTGACATGACCACAAAATGGTATTGCGGAAAGGGCTATTGTGGATTCTTTTGGGAGATGCAGTGTAGTAGGAGGAAAAAGTGATCTTTTTACTTTGTTTAAGATGTAGATAAATTATAACTATTGTAGCCTGCCTCATTTACCGCACAGCGAATGTTATTAAGTTCGGTATCGATAGCAGCTTGACTGGAAGATAAAATTTGATTTGCCCCCTTTGTGGATCAGTTTGTATAATTCTCTAAACCAACATATCTAGCTCTGCAATTTGGAGGCGCACAGCACATGTGCATTACAACCGCACATGTTTTTATTTGAAAATTATTTTTTGTTCCTACTGTTGCTTCCATTCCAAAACGTTAATACGCTTGGAACGGTCAGTTATTTGTAATAAAAAAAAAAAATTATTTTTTGTTTATTCTGTAATCTGATTGTTGTATAGACCAGCGATTCCCAACCTGTGGTACGCGTACCCCTAGGGGTACGCGATAGGTTGTTTAGGGGTACAGAAAAAAGTTAGTTATTATGGCAGAAAAAATAATATATTATGTATCACAAACTAATAGTATTAAAAAATTATTAGGTAAAATATGTTCCTTTTTTTTTTTTCTTTAATTTAAAGTTACAATATGTAAAATTAACAATACGAGTACTCACTAAATTTCTTAAATGAGGGGTACAATCTAGAGATATGACATGTCACGGGGTACAATCTAGAGATATGACATGTCACGGGGTACAATCTAGAGATATGACATGTCACGGGGTACGCTAATGAAAAAAGGTTGGGAACCACTGGTATAGACGATTGTAACCATCTGTTCCTATAAATGTATCAGGACCAATTACTATGTAAATAATGTATTCTGTATTAGGCAATGTTAGCCAATTTTTATATCTATTTCTGTTTTTTTTTTTTTTTAATAAATGTGGTGCTGCGGCCCATGGATCCCCACCCTTGCCTTCCTTCCTCTCCCCTTTTTAATCTAGTTACTTTCACTTTTCTTCTCACTTCTTTTCCTTACTATAGGGCTAAGTTTGTCTTGAACAGACAGCTCTCTACTTAACTTTATACTTATCTTATCTTATCTAATAAAAAAAAAGGAATTTAACCGTTTTAACGGCCTGAAGAAGACGAAAATAATTAGTGTCAAAAGTGCTTGTCGGTCTGACGACAGTCATTGTTAATTAACGCCTGTATGATAAAAAGTTTATTCTAAGAGAAGTAATAGTGGAGTTTACAAAGTTTGAGGGTTGGAAGGCAGTTGCAGGGATAATATCTGGCACTTTGTTGTTTTTGTGGTGCACCACAAAAATTAGCTCCAAAGATCTATGTATTTCTAAATCTAAAAAGGAAATTTTATCATCTTGCTCCTCTTCTACAGTGAAATTGATAAAGGATATATTGAAGCTAACATTTGAATAAATTTGTCTAAATCCTCTGCAAAGCCGTCCCATGCAAGAAAAATATCATCAACATATTGTAGATACATGATAGGCTAGTGGAT